TTACGGTGGTTCGTATAACTGAGCTTGAAGATGTCGTCCAATAGTTTTGCCGTAAACGCTGTCCCTCGGTCAGTGATGATGAATCATGGGGCGCTGTGACGAAGCACAATGTGGGGCATGAAAAACTGGGCGATTTCAGATAGTTGTATCGCGTGGCAGTGGCTTCATCTCAGCGTAACGCGTCAAGTAATCGTTTGCGATGATGATCCACTTGTTACAGGAGTGAGACAAAGGAAATGATCCAAGGAGGTCCATCCCAACCTGGTAAAATGGCGTAAGCGGTGGGTCGATAGGTTGTAGGAGGCCTGCAGGCTTTACAGGTGGTGACTAACGGCGCTGACATTCGTGGCATCCTTTCACGTAGCGTTTGACACAAGCTGCGTAGTTTAGGCCAGAAATATATAGCTGGTAAACCCGATTGAGCGTCCGTGAGTATCCCAGATGGCCGGATGTCACCTCATCATGGCAGGCTAATAGAATCTCATCACGAAGGTCTTGAGGAACGATTATAATATAATATCTGCTAGCCAACACTGGTGTTTTTCTTGTATAATATGCCTTGCCGTAAACAAAATGACGGCAACGTACGAGAAAGTGGACGAGGAATTGACGCGGTGACTGCCTTCTCAATTATCGATGATGCCTTGACTCGGGGTCCGCTCGTTGCTTACTGAGGAGGTCCGCCCCATTGAGAGTCCCCAGAAAGGCACTGTCGGTGCTCGTGATAGCATGTCGACATCTTCATGCTTTCTGCCAAACTTGTATATGATGGTGACACCGAACTCCTGAAATCGTAGATTCTATCGTGCTAATCCCCCAGAAGAGTCTCGGAGGTTAGCCAACCAACGTGAAGCGTGGTGATCAGTCTTAACTTTAAATGGGCGCCCATAGAGATAAGGCCTGAACTTCGTAATCGGCCATATTACCGCTAGACATTCCTTTTCTGACGTTGAATAGTTGATCTCGGCACGTGATAGAGTTCCGCTCGTGTATCCAATCACACGTTCAATCCCATCTCTTGTTTGCACCAAGATAGCTCCGAGACCAATGTTGCTTGCATTAGTGCGTTCCTCTGTGTCAGTGTCCTCATCGAAATAAGTACAGGAGGAGAAGACAATCGATGTTCCGGTTCCACAAAGGCAGTGGCTTGTTCGTCAGTCCACATAAATGGGGTGTCGTCACGCATAAGTCTGATGAGTGGCTCCGCAATCTTAGAGAAGTTTTCAATATAGCGGCGATAGTATGTGCAGAGCCCCAGAAATCGTCGAAGACCTTTCTAGTCTGTCGGAGCTGGAAAAGCGGCCACAGCGGCACCCTTCTCAGGATCGGGCCAAACGCCTGCAGCGCTCACAACGTGACCCAGGAACTTCAGTTCTTTGTAGCCGAAATGGCACTTCTAAGGCTTGAGGGTCAGGTCAACGGATCGTATAGCTTCAAGAACACTCCGAAAGCAACAAAGGTGCTCGTCAAATGTTTTTGAAAAGACAATGACATCATCTAGATAGACGAGGCAACTTTTCCACTTTAGGTCAGCGAGAACGATATCCATCATTTGTTGGAATGTGGCGGGAGCGGAACAGAGGCCAAATGGGAGCACTCGGAATTCATACAGACTGTCAGGAGTTACAAAAGCCGTTTTTTCGTGGTCCCGTTCATCGACTTCAATTTGCCAATAACCACTTTTGAGGTCGATTGAGGAAAAGTACTTTGCTCGCCTCAGCCTGTCAAGAGAATTGTCCACTCGAGGCAACGGGTACACATCTTTCTTTGTGACGTTATTCAGCTTCCTATTATTGACAAAAAAGGGAAGTGTATCATCCTTCTTTACAAGGACGACTGGCGATGACTATGGGCTGCTTGATGGCTGTGTTACACCGTCTTGAAGCATTTCCTTCACTTGCCTTTGAATCGCGCGCCGTTCAGTTGGTTAAACACGGTAAGGCTGTTGCCGTGTAGGGTGCGCGTTGCCGTAGGTGATAATATGGTGTTAGGTAATCGATGTCTGACGGATTCTCGATGAACGTGCAAAACAGGCGAGGAATTCTATCCATATGTCGTTAAGCCTCCATTTGTTTTCGACAGAAAGAGTTGGATTTATGTCGACACACCGGAGAGGTGCTTCGGCATTACTGGTTGCCTCGGAAGCAAAACAATCAGTCACATTGGTTACTGGGTAAGCATAGGCGATGACAGTACCAGGGAAAAGGCGTCGGCGCTCGTAGCTGAAGTTCGTAACAAGTACCTCGCAGTGGCCAGCCTGTAGGTCTACTAGGCTTCGTGCTACGCAGAGACCTTGGGAAAAGAGTAGGGATCGGTTGTTCTCTGCCACCATTTCACCATGTGCTGATTTGTTACACGCCACTTGAACCATAACACTTGAGTGCGGTGGTATCGTCACAGCATTGTCAATTACACGCAGATATACTTGATTGTGGCTAGGATTATGCTCTGGCGCTTTTTGTTAAGAACGTGACGAGGCGTTGTCGAATGTCGATGATAGCACCGTGCTCCCTCAGGAAGTCCATGCCAATGATCAGGTCTAAAGAACACTGACAGAGAACGCTCAAGCTGACAACAAAGGTAGAACCACAAATCTGTATTCGTGCTGTGCAAACGCCGAGTGATGTGACGATGTGCCCGCCAGCAGTATGAATTGGCCCGAGGTTCCGAGGCATCGTCACTTTCCTCAGGAGAGCAGCCTGTTTTTCACTTATAGAAAAATGCGCACCCGTGTCAACTAAAGCACTGACTTTGCGACCGTCGAGCAGCACTGGAATCTAATGAAATCTTTGTCGAACCAGCTGGTGTAGCCGTCGTCGGGGAATCGTCAGTTTGCACAAGCGTCAGTAGGAGGCTTTGAGCTTGTCCAGTATGAGCGGTTTCGTCCGCGAAGGTTGTTGTAGTTAGTTTTCCCGGCGTGGACTGGGTGACCAACCCTGCGCCACGCTTGAATAAGTACGGGGATTAAGTTAATATCGCCGCGGTGACGGGGAGCATGACTGGTGCAAGGATGACGAAGTTCAGTGCTGCTGGGCCACATACTCTTCAATTTCAGGGAGTCACTGACCGAATGCGGTGAGTTCGTCAAAAATCCGCGTAGTCCAAGTTGTCGATAAGAACACTGTCGGTAAAGATGCCCAGCTTCGGCACAGTGGAAGCAGAGAGGACTTCGATCTGGCGCACGCGAGACGTCTGATTTTAGGCAGATCAGACAAGGTGCGCTGTAATATGGCGTGGCTTGGACCGTCTGTAGCATGGCTGGGGTCACGGTGCGATGCGGAATTGCAGGTGTAACAGGACATGTGGGGAAAGCTACTGAGTGGTTGGTAATCCCGCATAAAAGGCGGTTCTCTTAAGGCATGCTGGACTTCATCTCGGACAACACTGGACAACGAGGAGATAGTGGGCTGCAAGGGCACTGACAGCTTCTGAAGTTCTTTGCGCATGACTTAACGTATGAGCACTCGGAAAAAATCCATTTGGCCACCAAAAGCTCCCAAGTGGTCCGTAGTTGAAGCGTTGACGTGCCGTTCGTACGACAGGGCCCGGTGCCTAAGAGTGCTTTCGATGGTGATGGCTTCTGTGAGAAATTCTGACACAGTCTTGGGTGGACTGTGCACAAGCCCACCGAAAAGCTGCTCTTTCACCCTGCGCATGAGGTAATGTACCTTCTTTTCTTCTGGCATGCCGGGGTCAGCTTGAGGGAAGAGGCGCGTCATGTCGTCCACATACATCGCAACCCCTTCGTTCGGCATTTTTATGCGGGACTACAGATCGCGCTTAGCTCTCTCCCGACGGTCAGGGCTGGCATATGTTCCAATAAGTGGGCATTTGAAGTCTTCCCATGATATAAGGATACCTGCCCAGTTCTCATACCATACACGTGTGCCATCCAAAAGACTCAAATAGACGTGCCACAGTTTGTCTGCGTCGTCCCACTAGTTGTGCACGGCAATGCACTCGTAATGAACAAGCAAATCTTCGGCATCAAGTGCAGTGCCATGAAAGGGATTTGGCATTTGGGGTGTGTGTAAGGTGCAATGAAGCGGCGTTGTGCCGTTCGTACCGAATGGGTTGGTGTCGGTAGGGCTGGTCGGAGCCGCCAAGTTCTTTGTGAGCAGTCCAATCTCAAGGGATTGCCCTCGGATTCTACTGCTGGTGCGGGGCACAGGAGTGACAACCAGACTTGAGTCCTTGCTATGCAGAGGGGTACGGTGCATAGAATACCCAGCACCTCCACGAGTTTGTCACACACCAAGAGCCATAGAGACAAGACAGGAGCAGCGGGGCTGAAATACACGAGCGTGTATCTTAAAAAGAAGTACTAACACACACTTATTTTTCGTTCTCTTAGCCCTTTTCGGCTCGCTAGGGCTTACCAGCTCACAACTCTAGGTGGCAGTATGATGCCGATTTGCTCATGCGCAGTGTTCATGAGGTACAGAAAAAGTATAATTTCTGGTTTCTTATAGTGAATGAAAATCAGTTATTCTGTGCTGGTCTGGTGTGTTCCTGTCTTGTGTATCCTCGTGTGTGTGCGCTAAAGTTCTATTATGCTAGAAGTGTGGACAGTGGCGTAAGGATGCATAGTTTCACCATGTTTTTGATAACATAATGCGCGCCGTGAGATGCAACATTATTTTCAGAAAAAGCATAGGTAAGCCCATAAAACGTGACCATCAAAACTTAAAAGAGTCTCGGCGAAAAAAACAAGTCCAAATCCGCTTATAATAACCAAAACTGGCTACTCTGGTGCCACCGCTTGGGTGCATACACACACAAAAAAAAATTATAAAAGACTGAACTCTCGTAACTCGAGCGAGAAAAAACGAACACATGAGAGCTGTTGCACATGCATTGTGCTTTCCACCATCAGCTACACAACTGGTTCGAGCAAAAAATTCCTTGCACGAGGCTGTGCTGAATTTTTCCTGTTGAAAGTCTTTTCTCGTGAGTACTTGACAGCCGGTGTTAGAGACGGCATACATTTCGTGACTTGCTTGCTCACAGTTTTCTGGTATGTAGTGAAACTGCGACACTCGGCAGTAAAGGTTTTTTTTAAAGGTCACCTTCTAGCAAAATGAATCAGTCATGTAAACCCTACTTAAAAAAAACTCCCACCCCTGCCCTTTTGGGCTTTATTTAGATGACGTACCGAGATATGGCGACTGCGGGTGCTTCTCTGTGAAAAAGATGCATTGCAATGGGTACAGGAATACGGGCGCGCTCCTGTGTGGGTACGTATGTGCTCTTCTAAGATGCATTTCCGTGTAAAGGATGCATCACAGTGAACACATGAGTAAGGGCGCTCTCCCGTGTGGGTGCGCACGTGCAGCATGAGGTTGCCTTTTTGGGAAAAAGACGCATCACAGTGGCCACAGGAATAAGGCCGTTCGCCAGTGTGAGTGCGCAGGTGCTGCACGAGGGTGTATCTCTGCACAAAGGCTGCATCACATTGACCACAAGAAAATGGGCGCTCTCCAGTGTGGGTGCGTATGTGTGCACCGAGTTCACGCTTTCGTGAAAAGGATCCACCACAGAAGGGACAGGAGAAAGGACGCTCTCCTGTATGGGTGCGAATGTGCTCTTTGAGATGGATATTCATAGTGAAAGTAGCGGGGCACAGGTGACACTGGAAGGGATGCTCCCCTGTGTGTCTGCGAAGGTGTACTTCCATGTTTCCCTTCATCCTGGTCGTATAGGCACACAGCCGGCAGGAATGCAGTCCACCTTCTACAGACACGAGTGAACGGTACTGGTCCTGAGATGCCGCAGGCAACGAACCTGCATAGCCACAGGAAGCACCACAAGGCAATGCAAATCATATATCCCACACTATACATAGAACGAGACTTGAGCAGCAAAATAACAAGAATTTCTGCACTTATAAATAATTGTATACGACAACCTTTGCTAGTGCAAACGTGTTACTTTAACAAAGCAGTATATTGATTCAGTACATGCCTCATACATGTTGCCATGCCATGCCAAATCATTCAGCGTTCTTCCAACCATCACGAATATGGCTGAAAGAATTTTCACGTTTCTCAAAGTTTGAAACTCACCCTGGTCGTTAATTTTCATTAACAAACATTCACCCTCCTATTTATGAGAGTCTGCAGTTCGGTGCCGACTGAGCTAGAAGGCGTCAAAGAACAATTTTTTTGAATGTTTTTGAAATGCGTGCGATAAAATGGTATTTGCCACAAAGTAATAAAGTGATTTAACTGTAAAAAAAATGACTTACTTAAGTATATTGTGAGCGCGACAAGCGAATGACTCTTTATTCTCTTTGTAATCATCATCACCTGCACATCTTCTTCATCTAAAAATATCATCACGTGATTTAGCTCGAGCCTGGCCGAATAAACCGGTGCCTCACAAGTGGTGGACTGTGCTTTTCGTTCCCTCAAGTCCTCTCGCCCGTTCTCGCTGGAGCTCCGCTCGGGTCGTCGCATACAACCCCCTGCCTTACGGCCCAAGAAAACCCTGGCCCATCTAACGTCGCCGTCTTACTGCAGCCACCGCCACCCGCTCCGCCCAACAACACTCGCCTGCGTGATCCACCTATGTTTTCCGGTCTCCGAGGCGATGATGTCGAAGACTGGATCAAGAACTACGACCTCGTCAGCGATTTGAACAGGTGGGACAATCCACAGAAGTTGCGCAGCGTCCCATTTTACCTGTCCGATGTTGCGAAAACTTGGTTCTGGAACCACCACCCGGATGTTCCCTACTGGGACACTTTCGAGCAGCAAATTCGTCAGATATTTGGTGCCCCTGCAGTTCGCACTGAGGCAGCAAAGAAGAAACTCGCTCAACGCACGCAGCTGCCGGGTGAATCTTACACCTCTTATATTGAGGATGTCGTTGCACTGTGCAAGCGCGTTAACACCGGCATGTCTCAGAACGACCAAATATGCCACATTATTAAAGGCATTAACACCGTCGCCTTTAACGCCCTCGCCACGCAAAATTCTGCCACCACCCAGGACGTGATAACCGTCTGTCAGCGACTTGACGAGCTTCAGTCTCTTCGCCTTCGCTACGATGCCCCCGACGTTCGTTTGCCTGCACCCCTCGACTTGCGTGCGCTTATTCGCGACATCGTTCGTGAAGAGCTGCACGGGCGCTGCTCTTCCTGTGCTGCGGAAGTTACTTTACCTCCTGAAAAAGATAGCTTGCGAGACCTGATTAAACAAGAGATCGCCTCCGCATCGCGTGCGACGTGTTCCAACAGTCCCTGAGTGCGCCAGACGCGCACGTACGCCGAAGTTGCCGCGCTCTCTGCCGCACCCACCGTTTCTGTGCCTATAACAACAGACCATACGCCTGTGGTTTGTTATCACCGCCAGTGCGTGCACCACCTCACTACGCACCTCAGCGCCCACCTCGACCAATCTGTTACTACTGCGGCTATCGAGGACATATCGCTCGGTTTCGTCGAAGGCGCCAACAAGACGAGCAACGCGGCTACGCTCCTAAAGAACATCGAAGCTTCCGTCCGACCATGAACTACTTACGGCCACCCTCCCGATCGTCCTATTACCGTTCACCGTCACCTACTTACCATACGGACATACCTGGGAATTCCCGTCACCAAGTCAGATTATGTACTTCGGCCATACATCGAAGAAATTATAAATGTTAATTGCACCGACATTGTGGATGGCCACGTACTAATTCTTCCTTACGGTCATACCCTACGTAGGAGCATTCTGATCACACTGGGGCTTATTCGCTTCTTCGATGGGTGTACATACCTAACCGCCATAAATCAAACGCCCGAGTGTGTACTGCTCCCCTGTGGCTCAACAGTATCTTGCACGGTCGACAGTGAGCCTGTTGCGATTGTTACTCTTCCGAACAACAACCACAACGATGTTCCGAAGTCGCAATCATTGCCATTCAATGCCTCAGCCACACTTGTGTCGGCAACAATAAGCAATGACCTAACACCTGATCAAACTGAAGATTTGCTCGCCCTGTTAAATAGACACCATTCTCTATTTGACGTGAACTCGCCTGCCCTCAGCATGACTACCACCGCTATTCACAGAATCCAGACTGACGGCTCTCGTATTGTACATCGGCGTCCATATCGCGTGTCTCAGACAAAACGCAAGATCATTGAAGCAAACGTCTCAGACATGCTACGACGCAACATCATACGTCCTTCCTCGAGTCCCTGGTCATCTCCAGTTGTTCTCGTTCAAAAGAAAGATGGGACAGTGCGTTTCTGCGTCGATTACCGTGCGCTAAACAAAATAATGCGCAAGGATGTTTATCCCCTCCCTCGGATCGACGATGCACTGGATTCATTACAGGGCGCAGAGTATTTTTCCAGCCTCGACCTTAGGTCAGGCTACTGGCAGAAAGCAATGTCGGAGTCTGATAAAGAGAAGACCGCCTTTTCAACACCAGATGGGTTGTACGAGTTAAATGTACAACCCAATGGAAAAATCAAATTAACTCTGTTTGTACTAAGCTAGCATCTAGCTGCAGTATGCTACTGGCTGCTAGAAATTATTTTAGCAGAAATAGTCTCAGAGTTCTTTATTTTTCGTTTGTTCATAGTCAGTTCATCACCTACCACCCTATCCGTCCTTGTTTCACAACAACGTGTCGACCCATACTGCCGCACCATTGTTGACCGCTTGACCGGCTCTACTACTCCTCCAAACGCCAGACTCCTTCGACAACTTAAACAAGTTAAGCTTGTCGGTGATGCTTTATGTCGCTACATTTACCACATTGATGGCAACAAGTGGGTACCCGTCATCCCACGTTCTCTGCAACGTGAAGTTCTGAAAGCCTTTCATGATAATCCAACCGCTGCTCATCTAGGCTACCACAAGACTTACGACAAAATACGAAGTCGTTGTTTTTGGCCTGGCCTCTCTTCAGCCGTCGCTAAGTACGTCGCCATTTATGTCCATTGCCAACAGCGAAAACGACCGGCAACTGCTTCGGCTGGCTTAATGCAACCTCTTCCTTGTCTCGCCTAACCTTTTGAAGTCGTTGGAATCGACTTGTATGGCCCTTTTCCTATATCATCCAATGGGAATCGCTGGATTGTCACGGCAGTCGACCACCTTACCCGCTACGCAGAAACAGCTTCTATACCATCTGGGACTGCCACTGAGATCGCCGATTTCTTTCTTCGCCACATCTTTTTGCATCATGGAGCTCCACGCATTCTCCTCAGTGATCGTGGCAAAGTCTTCCTATCTTTTACTGTCGAGCAAGTTTTGCGTGCCTCGAACACTGTTCACAAGACCACTTCTAGCTACCACCCGCAGACCAACGGATTGACTGAACGGTTTCATCGGACCCTATCGGACATGATCGCCATGTACATTCACCCCAACCACACGAACAGGAATGCAATTCTACCCTTCGTGACATTCGCCTATAATACGGCTGCTCAACGCACTACCGGCTTTTCTCCATTTTTTCTCGTCCATGGTCGCTCGCCGAGTTTCGCTCTGGATGTCTCTTTCCTTTCGGCCCCTGCACCCTCGACGGCTCCTTTCTCTGAAGAATTCCTATCACGTCTCGCACAATGCCGTCACCAGGCCCGTGTTAACACCGGCCTCTCTCAAGACACTCGAAAATCTCGCTACGACTCGTCTCGCCGTGTTGTGAGTTTTTCCCCTGGTGACGAAGTTCTTCTATGAACTCCACTACGCGTCCCCGGCCTATGCGACAAATTCATCAGTCGCTTCATCGGGCCATACACGGTGGTCGAACAGACATCTCCTGTCAATTACCGCGTTTCTCTTGTTAGCGCTAGTCCTGATCATCGTTGCCGAGAAACAGAGATAGTGCACGTATCTCGTTTAAAGCCTTATGCGCAACGCATTTCATAATACTGTCAAGCGACCCGGCGGCCGCTTTCACCGCGCGGGGGAATTAGTGTGAGCGCGACAAGCGAATGGCTCTTTATTCTCTTTGTAATCATCATCACCTGTACAACTTCATCTAAAAATATCATCACCAGCGTGATTTAGCTCGAGCCTGGCCGAATAAACCGGTGCCTCACAATATCAATTCCTCGAGGACTTTTCACACGAGCATTATTCAATTAGGTTGCCAAATCCGGAATTTGTTATCGGGAGCATGGCAAGCTCGAAGGACACAAATGTGCTGGTGGCCTTTTTTAACATATTACTAATTAAAAATAATTTAGGCAAGGAAGTCAGAGCAGATGGTGTGAAAAAAGATCACAAAATTCGCTTGTTTAGGAAAAACGTCTGTATTCGGCGTCACAAAACAAGTGTTGGTAGATAGAATAAAATATGCACAATACCTCATTTGAAAGCTCCATGTACTAGCTAAAGATTAATAAAGTTACTAGTAGGTATTATTTTCAAACATGAAAAATATTATTTGGAAGTTATGTATCTCTACCAGATTTTCGCCTACGTAACTGAAGCAGCTTGATGCACTTGCAAGACCAATCTTTAGCAGAAAACCACTGACAATACAGACGGCAACTTCGTGCTTTCAACTGAGAAGTCAAAATGGGAATAGGGCTACCATCTACGTTCCATTGTCAACAGAAGTCCACTACAAGGAATGTAACCAGTGTGGCGACTTCTAAATCAGCCATCCAGCTCAGAGATTTACAGTCACAAATGCTACTTTCCTGGGGAGTTCTGGAAATATTGAAGGTGTGTTTTATGCGCTTAATAAAAATATTTATTCATATTCAGTACGTAAGTCTTATAGCACGTTAGTAGCATTGATGCAGTACAAGATAAACTCTATCGTAATACAAATGCTTCATTTTTTTTCTCGCTTTCAGGCGAGAACCCTGCTCCCCGAGACAAAAAGCCTGTCGTATGGCTACACAAGTGAAAAACAAACTTATATTAAACAGACACTAAATTCAAATAACAATCTACGTCAGAGTGAAAGCTCAATGTATGACAACATTTAAGACGACAATATTATCAACAACAGTGCCCTACTTACCGAGAAATTAGTTAAATGCACGATAAAAAATACGCCGCAGTAGGACATTCTCAAAATTATCCCAATAATATCAGGCGGACTGCCTACAATTAGTCACTAGTAATCGATTTAGCTGCGCTAAATAAAGAACCTTCCATGCATCAAGAAATGCAATAAAATGCTATTTGTTTGTTTCTGTTTGATTCATGTAAAAAAAGAACTGCCAGACATTTCTATGGGGAATGATACGTGTGGTTGAAAAAATTCAATTTTCGGTAGTTACACTGGACAAGTGGTGCCATCTACCGAGGCGCAGTTTAGCCAAACGATATCTGCAATCTCGGAGCCAATGACGGGAAATCGATCAATGGCCGTTGTTGCTCCTGTGGCTTCTGCTGCTTTCGGTGTGCTGCTACAATAGAAGTAAAGCCGGGCAACGTTGTGCATGGCAATAGTGACGTGAGTCAGTCCGGTCGGTCCACTTTTTAAGGCGGGTAATTTGAAGTGCGCTAACCCGATGCGGACAACTAAAACATGATTTTATTTCAAAATAGACTTTTCCTTGGCACAAAAGAAATAATACAAGGTTTTTGGACTGCTACTTCAACAATCAACATTGACCTAATAGTTGCCTTTAGTTCAAGAACCAGTATCCAAGTAGATACTCTTGTTTAGGTTGGAAGTAAGGTATTATTTATACTGTATACTTTACAGCAGCTTGATGGCTCATCTGAGAATCTTCATCAGCGGCATAGCTAGTAAGGGAGGAGAAGTTGCTTAACTCCCCCTCAACTCACACAGTCTAGAAATTTTTCAGATGCACATGCGCACACATGAAAACACATGAACGTACATAAGGTATGACCCCAATCACCTCCGCCCCCCCCACACAGTGTTCATCCAGCATGGCGGTCGTTAAGATGATTGCCCCGAGAGTATAGTGTACTAGAACGCTGTGCACCTATTCTAGAACACTATGCCGAGAGAGACGGTACCGGAAAGTACACTGTTGGCGAAGAGTGCAATTCTCAGCGCTTCAGTGGCCCTTCCATTTATGTTTTTGGGAAATTAGGGGAGGGCTAACACACCAAATTAGGTCAATAAATGCCGGGTAGCACATTTTGTAGATAAATATGCTCAAAATAGTAAATAAGGCCCACACGTACGCACTTCACAATGCTGGCTGTGTGTAATCGCGTGCAACGCCTTGTATCATGTTGAAAAAGTATGATAATGGGAGCATCAGTACAAATTTCTCAGTAACCACACAATTATGAGGCATAACAGTGCATAGCTTTGGATATTTAGCCTACCTTGGGCCCGCTATCGTGCACCTATGTTTAAGTACATGCACCTGTAGTATTTCGCCTACACCGAAGTGCGACCGCTGCCCCCAATATTGAACGCATCTTCTCACACTAACCCATTTAACTAATTATTAGTGCTTTGCATAGAAACATCTATACAATCGAGTAGATGAAAGGCAACAAATAAAATATGAGCAACATTAAGTATGAAACAAACAGGACGACTACATATTGTGCATTCATTGAACACTTCTTGGATTTCACTGCTATAACGCGACTGTAATAAGCCTGAGCCTAATGAAACAATCACCACATCGGCTGGTAAGATTTAAGAGGCACTCCTCAGTTTATTATAATCATGCCAAAGATTACCAAATAAGCTGTACGTTACCTTCACAGAGAGTAACTGTATTCGCATCATGTCCATCATCAACACAGGGCTTCACATCCACCAATTCCATAACTTCATCCGTACTATGCCTGCGATCAACAATCGGCTTCAAGTCCACTGTAACTTCATTGGCATTGTGTCCGTGATCAACACACGGATCCACGTCCACCGCAATTTCATTCGCATGGAGCCCATTATCAACACTGGGCTTCTTGTCCACCAATGCGATAAGTTCATTCGCATAATGTCCGTGATCAACTAACGGCTTCAAGTTCACCGTAACTTTCTTCGCATAATGTTTGTGATCAACACTCGGCTTGACGTCCAACGTAAATTCATTCGCACCATGCTCAATGTTCGGCTTAACGTCCGTCGTAACATCATTCGCATAATGTCCGTGATCAACAGTAGGCTTCACGTCTACCGCAACTTCGTTCGCGTAATGATTTTCGTCAACCAAGTCTTCAACACTCGGTTTCACATCCGTCGATGCACTAGTCGCTGTCAAAATGCCGTCCATTGCACCACTGCCTCCTTTAGTTAGGAGGCTATGAAGTATAAAGAAGGCCATTATTACGCGCGTTTCACCTAGAGGATGTCGCCCGTCGCGGTTTCACTTTACGCAGCGGTCACCAATAAAGTTACCACTCACACCTTGAATAAATAATGCAAACAACACCAGGATAACACATTCAAAAGTCCCAGATATGCGAGACGCGGACGCATAGCGGCATAGGAAGCATAGTTTTCTGGCTATTATTGGCTGTACTTCTTTTTCCGTTGGACGAAAGGATGAATGAACGTGGCTGTACCCTTTAGATTGGGCGGCGGGTAGCGCCACCTAGCTGTAATATTTAATGAACTAACTGCAAGATCTATCTTTTTTTTTTTTTAAACAGTAAAGTTTAGGAGTGGTACTTTGCAGTGAAGGGTTTATTTCACTCGTGCCGTGACTTTAGCCACCAATCAGATAACCTCCTTGTTAATTCTACCCGCTTAAAGTCTATCTTGCCCTCCCAGTCCCTAAATCCCAGTGCTTTGAAAAACTCTGCGCCAACCTGAACTATAAGGTGAAGCCCTTAACAGAACATTATCAAATGTTCGGCAGTTTCTTCTTCCTCTCCTCACGCACTGCATACTGTTGATTGATATGTGGGTTTTAATGTCCCAAAAAACCATATGATTATGAGAGTCGCCGTAGTGGAAAGCTCCGGAAATTTCGACCACCTGGGGTTCTTTAACGTGCACCCAAATTTGAGCACACGGGCCTACAACATTTCCGCCTCCATCGGAAATGCAGCCGCCGCAGCCGGGATGCACTGCATGCCGTGTCTACCCCTTCGTATTCGGCCCGATATGTCTCGATTCGCAATACTCCCGTCCTGGCCTCAAAGAGTAGAGAACTACCCCGAGTATTATCATGGATACTTTCCTTAGCAACTTCCTGCTTAAAACTTCGATAGATCTCTAGTGCGGACTTCTTAATCATGCCTATTCTCCACATATCGGTCTCGGCTTCCATTACCTTCTTCTTAACCGATAATTCTTTTGGTTTGGCCCCCTGCTGTTATCTAGGTAATTAACAGTCAATTTTCTGGTTCGCTTCCCCCATTTCTTTCAATCGCTTTTCAAATTTTATCTTGCTGCTAGCTTCCCTGCCCTCAAATGATGTCCATCCCATATCACCTTGTACTCCCTTATTTGGAGTATTCCCGTGAGCTCCTAAAGCAAGCCTACCTATTCCACGTTGCTTAATTTCTAATCTTGCTTGAACTTCTGATCTCATGCACAAGACCGCATTGCCGAACGTCAGCCCAGGAACCATGACCCCTTTCCATCTTCCTCTCACAACATCATACCTATTGTAATTCCACAGTGCCCTATTTTTCATCACTACTGCATTCCTGTTACCTTTAGTCGTCACGTATATTTCGTGTTCCCTCAGGTACTCGGTCCCATTGCTTATCCATACGCCCAGATATTTGTATTTATCTGTTATCTCTAGCGTGACCTCCTGTATCCTAAGCTCACTACTTTCGTTGTCATTGAAAATCATGACTGCTGATTTTTCCTTACTGAATCTAAAATCTAACCTATCTCCCTCATTACCGCAGATGTCTATCATTCTCTGCAAATCTTCCTTGTAGTCGGCTATTAGCACTATATCATCTGCGTGCATTAATGCTGGTAGTGCCTGATCAATGAGTTTTCCTTGTTTGATGAAAGAGAGGTTGAAGCCCAGTCCACTTCCAACTAATTTGGCCTCTAATCATTGTAGATACACTATGAATAACAAGGGTGACAGACCACACCCCTGCCTAAGCCTTCGTTTTACCTCTGCAGGCTTGGATACCTGTTTGTCCCAATTTATAACTGCCTCGTTACCTTTATAGATATCCTTTAAAAGATTAGTGACTCCATCTTCCACACCTAGGTGTCCAGTATTCACCACAGGTCCTCGTGAACCACGCTATCGTACTCTATCTTGATATCCAAAAATGCTAGCCACAGGGGCCAGTGTTCCTTTTCTGCTATTTCGATACACTGCGTCAGTGAGAACAGATTGTCTTCCAACCTCCTGTGTTTCCAAAACCCTTTCTGCTGTTCCCCTAACACCTCCTCATTCTCTATCCATGCCTGCAATCTTTCCTTTATAATCTGCATCGCCAGCCTGTAGACCACTGATGTCACTGTTATAGGACGGTAGCTGTTTATGTCGGCTTTGTCCCGCTTTCCTTTATAGATCATGCTCATCCTGTTAAGTTTGGGGACTTCACCATCGATTATTATTTTGCCAACTGCCTCTCTCAAAGCCTGCTTAGACTTCGGTCCTAATGTCTTTATAAGCATAATTGGAATGCCAACTGGGCCTGTTGATGTACTACTAGGAACTCTCTTCTCAGCCCTTTCCCACTCTTGTTGTGAAAATGGAGCCATTGTGCCACTTTATTCATCACTGTCTATTGTGGTGAATAAAGCACTTCTTTGTTGAAATTTTTCTGTCACCCATGTTCTTATATATTCAATAGCTTCTTCTTTTTCTAGCCTAGCCCCTTGAGCTGTAGTTTGCACTGGAGTTTGCACGACCGCCCCGACGGTGAGAGCGAGCACATCTCAGCTGCTCCCGCAGACGAGAGTGGCGGCTGGCAGAGGCGGTTTGTGCGCGCATTGCCGTAACAAAACTTATGGGCGGTGGCGTGCTGCGTATTCAAGTGCAACAGTGTATAAAAGCAGGGAGGACGTATAAAGGAAATGGAGGACGTAACAAGAGGAGGCGGCATTGTGTTCAAGCGGTCAGGTGAGCAAAATTATGCTCTCTCTCTTCTGTCAAGTGCTGTAAGGCTCGTTTTCAAACCGAATGGCGCGTGTCTGCTTTGTTTATTTGATAGTGGAGACAGCCACCAGTGAAAACCAAGGCCAAACATTCAAGTTTAAAGGCGTTTTGCCAGAAACAAAGAAAACGAGCGTATTATGGAACAGGCGGCTAATGTAAACTTTTTTTTTTATGAGGCCCGCTGAGCGTTGAGTCATGCACTTCAGGACTAACAGTTACCATGAGTTCATCCATCTGACCATCACCACCAAACTCCATCTGATGCCGCCGCGTGAAGCGAATCATACGATAGGCAAGTAGTCCTCTTGTTTTGTGTGTGAACTGTTGCGTGTAAAGTAAAGTTTCTTTGTCCACAATACTTGTGCGGGGTCACGTTCACTTACGCCTGTGCTCGCGGTGAGCACTCGATGCCGAGATGCCTCTGCTTAACTTAATATGTGCAAAACACCGAGTTCTTGATACGAAAAAAGCAGCGGACTATTTGAAGCTTAGCTTTGTGGAGACAGCAGACGCGCTAAGCGTTTTTTGGCTGACGTGGCTAAGTAACATCAAAATATATGCCTTGCTAGAGAAGTATCAAATGTCTTCGATTTTTACTTGTTGTTTAGTTCGCCTAACACACAGTTTCAGTTTTTCCGTTTGCCTGTGTCGGCCTAAAATGACGCTGTCTGTTCAACAACGATAACTGCTAGGCTTTCATGTGCCAAACAAGATATCATTTTGAGGTACGCTGTATAGGGTGCGTATCAAGATTGTGACCGCTTGGGGTTCTCCAATGCGCACATATATCTGGGTTCAAGGGTGCTCTTTTTATATTTCACCCCCATCGAAGTGCGGCCGCAGTGGTCACGCTCATCTATCCCGCTCCTTCAAGAATAGCAGCGCGACACCACACGTGCTATGCTGTCATAGTGGTGTGCTTGATCAACATCCCCGTGCATAAGTACCTCAGACAGGGCGTACAAACGATGCCAGGAAAAAAAAAAAACGCAGCTACCACCTACTCTGCTTTTGTTTTGTTTTACTGCAGATGTTGGCAGCATGGTATAGTCGCAGCACGGACTTAATTTATTAATGGGGGCATGTCCGCCAGCACTAGATTAGCCCAAAACAAAGCACACAACCAGAAAATGAGGACGAGGGAGCTGCCATCACGGCAGAGAACTGTCCCTTTGATACTATATATGCATAGACGCAGTCTCCTTTGCAGGACTTCTCCCTGTGTTTAGTGCTTTTTATGTGAGAGTAGCATTAGGAGAAAGTTATTTTTCTAAACCACAATGCAGTATTACTGGCGCAATGGCTTTTCGAGGTGTTCGTTCCAAAATGAAGCACGGCAGCAGCACGCGCACATGCTCTCAGAGTGTTACCTTTTGATGGTACACTGCGGCTGGTCGTCTCAGCGCCAGCAGCTGAGTTGTGTCGCGACTCGGCCCCCAGGTGCTCTGTTTCGGTGGGCCACCTTAGATTTCAGATTCAGTAAGGAAAAATCAGCAGTCATGATTTTTAATGATAATTAAAGCAGTGAGCTTGGGATGCAGGAGGTCTCGTGCACAGAGATAACAGATAAATACAAATATCTGAGCGTATGGATAAGCAATCGGACCGAGTACCTAAGGGAACTTGAAAAAAACCTAACAACTAAAGGTAACAGGAATGCAGCAGTGATGAAAGATAGGGCACTCTGGAATTACAATAGGTATGATGTTGTGAGAGGAATATGGAAAGGGGTCGTGGTTCCTGGTCTGACATTCGGCAATGCGGTCTTTTTCGTGAGATCAGAAGTTCAAGCAAGATTAGAAGTTAAGCAACGTGGAATAGGTAGGCTTGCTTTAGGAGCTCACGAGAATATGCCAAATAAGGGAGTACAAGGTGATATGGGATGGACTTTATTTGAGGGCAGGGAAGCTAGCAGCAAGATAAAATTTCAAAAGTCATTGAGAGAAAAGGGGGAGGAGCATTGGGCTAGGAAAGTTTTCAGCTACTTGTACATGAAGAATGTCGATACAAAATGGAGGAAGCGAACCAAAAAATTGATTGGTAAATACTTAGAAAACAGCAGGGGGCCAAACCAAAAAGAATTATCGGTTAAGAAGAAGGTGAAAGAAGCTGAGACCGATTTGTGGAGAATAGGCACGATTAAGAAGTATGCACTAGAGATCTTTCACACTTTTACGCAGGAAATTGCCAAGGAAAGGGTCTATGATAATACTCGGGGTAGTTCTCCACTGTTTGAGGCCAGGGCTGGATGTAGTATTGCGAACCAAGACTTATCAGGCCAAATACGAAGGGGTAGACACGGTATGCAGTGCATGTGGAGAGGAGGAGGAAACTGCCGAACACTTTATATTGTTCTGTAAAGGGCTTCACCCTTTACAGAACAGGATGATGGCGCAGAGTTTTTCAATGCACTGGGGTTTAAGGACAGGGAGGGCAAAATAGACTATAAGCGGGTTGAATTAACTAGAAGGAGGTTATCTGATTGGTGGCTAAAGTCAAGGCACGAGTGAAAATTAAACCCTTCACTGCAAAGTACCAGTCCTCAACTTCACTATTTAAAGGAAAAAAAAAAAGATAAACCTAGTTTTTGGTTCACTAAGCAGTAAGGCTAGGAGGCATTAGCCGCCTGATTTAAAGGGTACAGCCATATCAATCAATCCATCCATCCATCCATCTATCCAACCTGTCCAGCGCTGGTCTCTCATACATGCGGCATAGAGTTTCATACACGCGCGGCGACCTATTATAATAGAAACGGCACCACATCATCATCAACCGGTGACATTTAACAATAATTTTGTGAGAAACTGTATGATCTAATTCAAGGAGGTTTCTATGTGTTGCCAAAAGCGGACGTCTTTTCCTTTGCTGTCGGCTGATGATGGCCGCAAAGTGCTGATGGTCTTGTAGGCAGCCACCACAAAGCGCAGGCCACGCGCTCACATGTTTCCTTTCATAAATGACGACAGTGTACATACGTGTGTCATTTCAATGATGGCTGTTAAAAATAAATAAGAGGAGCAGGGGCTCGGGGGGAGGCGCGAGAGATTGAGAGAAGGAGAGGGACGAAGTAAGCAGGCGGAGCTAGCCCTGACATAGTAAACATCGTACTTTAGAATCGCGACCACGGGTCCTTTTTCTTAACAATGGCAACACAATACATGTAACAATGTATGGTATACCCCATACGCCAGGGCCTCTCCTGTTGGCAGTGTAGTGCTGCGGAATCGTTATCATAAAAAAAGAGAGAGAGAGAAAAAATTCGGCAGATCCCACGTACCTGGGAATCGACTTTATGCAAAGCACGCGGAGGGAAAGTGACCGTGTTGCAATTTTTTTATTCAGCGACACTTTATGAAATGGCGCTAGAATACGTACAAATGTTACACGCACAGACATACATTAAAGAGTTGCAGATGTTTATATAAACAGTTGTTCGCACTTGCGCAACGATGCCAACTGGAACATATGTATTTGCAACACACGCTTCAAAGATGCTTCAAAGCGCTGATGCTCGCGAGGATGCTGGCCCTAGACAGTGCTACATAAATCAACTTCGGTGCATTGTAACTAACCACAATCGACGTTAACTCGACGTGACTGCTGTATCAAAGGAGTACATATGTGATGTTTATAAAACTGGGTAGGCAGCACTGTCACCACATTTGGCGTTTCACGAAGATTAGTGTCTATATTGTGACGACCGAGATCTAGGCATATAGTATAACGTCCACAGAAAATCGGCAGCCAGACAAGATGGCAGAGTTACCTTTCGCGCGAGCGTCTAACGCACAGGCCTCTTCGTCATCTTCACAAAGTGCCACACTTGATCCTGTCAATGATGCATTGTAACATCACTCTCCCGTGGCGGAAGCACCGTCATGGCGCTTGGTACGGCGACGAACTAGCAGGGTGATACGGTTTGAGTCTGGAAACGTGGACAACATCCGTCTGGAGTGAGGGGGTTACAGAGGCATTGTTTAGGGGTGTGATCTTGTAGCTCATGTCACTGAGTTGTCGTAACACTTAGTAGGGGCCATGGTAGTGTGGTAGTAGCTCCTCTGATAAGTCGACTTGGCGGTTTGGTGTCCAGAGAAGTACCAGAGACCCCGGCGAGAAGTGCACGCTTTGGTGGCAACTGTCATAATGGTCTTTTTGATGCTCTTGCGACAAGTGCAGCTGATCATGAGCAAGCTGGCGGGCTGCATGGGCTCAAGAAACGACATCGCTGGCGTACTCTGTAGACAAAGGGGCAGCCGTGAAATCGTAACACTGGATGTCGGCCAAATAGCAAATAAAACGGCGAATAACTAGCTCTGCCGTGCTGTGACTAGTTGTGCGCAAAAGTGACAAACGGGAGTGCTTTGTCCGAGTCACGGTGATCTGGTGAAACGTACATTGACAGCATCTGCGTCAGCGTTCGGTTTAGACATTCAGTCAATCCATTTGTCTGTGGATGATAAGCGTTGGTAAGCTTATTGTGCTCAGTGGAGCAGGCACAGAGAATGTCATCCACAACATGTGAAAGGAAGTACCTTCTTTGATCAGTAAGCTGCTGCCGCGGAGCGTCGTGATGAAGAATGACTTCATACAAAAGAAAGTCAGCGACGTCGGTGGAAAAGCTTGTCGGCACTGCTTTAGTGATGGCAAAGTGTGTGGCGTAATTTGTGGCAACTGCAACCCATTTATTTCCGGAGGTGGACGCAGGAAACGGGCCCAACTGGTCAAGGTCAACACGGAACAATGGTTCCATCGTTATGTCAATGGGCTGTAGGAGGCCAGACCGTGGCACAGAGGGGCGCTTGCGGCGGTCGCAAGCAGTGACATAGCCAACCACAGAACGATACAGTACGGCCCAGAAAAAGCGACGTCACACACGATCATAGGTACGAGAGACGCCTAGATGACCGGCTGTAGGTACGTCGTGTAGTTGTTCGAGAACGCTGGTACCCAGATCGATGCACGAGTAGTAATTCCGGGCCATCGGCATTGAAGCCGCGACAGTACAGAATGTTGTGCAGTTCGAACAGGTGAACAGAAGGGTCTGTTGGAACAGAGGTCAGACGCTCGATGATGGAGAGTAACGATGGGTCACGTCGTTGTTTGGTGGAGATATCACACAAAGCGTGGATGGAGAGCACGCAGGGGTCCGATTCAAGGTCTGTCAAGTCGGGCATTTCAAACGGATGACGTGACAAACAGTCTGCGTCTGTGTGCAGGCGTCCCGACTTGTAGTGGACCACAAACGAGTATTCTTGCAGGCGCAGCACCCAGCGGCCGTGACGTCCAGACGGGTCCTTTAGCGATGAGAGCCAGCATGATGGTCAGTAACAACGGAAAAAGTTCGGCCATACAGGTAAGGCCTGAATTTTGTCACAGCCCACACTAAAGCTATAGGTCTTCACGCCCAGTGATGGAGAACTTGTGTTCGGCAGGTGAAAGAAGATGACTGGTGTAAGCAATTATGCGGTCCTTCCAGTGCTGTCGTTAGCCGAGGACCGCCCCAATTCCATGGCCACTGTTATCGGTCCGAAGCTCTGTAGGTGATGCAGGGTCGAAATGGGCGAGTATTGGTGGCTTAGCCAGCAGATGGGTAAGAGCCGAAAAGACGTCCGCTTGCTGTATGCCCCATGCGAAGGGAACGTCCTTCTTTAAGAGATCAGTAAGCGGTCGAGCGATGTCGGCGAAGTTGCGGACAAATCGACGAAATAGGAACGTAGCCCTACAAAACTTCGGATGTCCTTAGTTGAACATGGTTCAGGAAATCCTTGTACTGCTCGCACTTAATCAGGATCTTGTTGAACACCACCGGTACTGACAAGGTGGCAGAGTATGGTGATTTGGCGACGCTCGAAAGGGCATTTTGCAGAATTGAGCTCGAGAGCGGCTCTTCGAAAAACATCCAGAACGAATGGTAGACGTGTGATTTGGCTGTCAAATTTAGTTGAAAAGACGATAACATCGTCTAAGTAACATAAGCAGATGGAGCACTTATATCCTCGTAGAAAATAGTTCATCATGCTCTCGACAGTTGCCGACGCATTACATAGTCCGAACAGCATCACTTTGAACTGGTAGAGGTCGTCAAGCATGACAAAAGCGGTTTTTTCACGATCCATGGGGTCAACGGAAATTTGCCAATAGCCGGATCGAAGGTCGATAGACAAAAAGTATTGGGCGCCATGGAGGCAGTCGAGGGCGTCATCAATCCGAGGCAAAGGGTAGACATCTTTATGAGTGACATTGTTTAAATGGTGATAGTCCACGCAAAAGCGCCAGCTGCCATCCTTCTTTACAACGTGCACGACGAGGAGGCTCAGGGGCTAGATGATGGTTCTATGACGTCTTTAGTAATAATTTTGTCGACTTCATTCTTATAAAATACTTAATTTACTTTAAAAAATTCTTAAAATACTTAAAATACTGAAATACTTACACTTAATGAGTTATGCACAGGCAAATCCACTTTCTAATTTCATTTCTTGGATTGAAGTAGCAATCAAACGTTTACAGAAAAAACTTTGCAAGAGGTGATCTAATGAAATGTAGAATTGCCTTTTTGATTAAACTTTACACTTCTCATTACTGAAGGAAATTCGACCCGCCATGATGTCCCAGCAGTTATGTCGCTCGACCAAAGGTTGCGGAATCAAATCTGGGCAGTGATAGCCGCATTTTGAATGGAGGCAGGAATGTCATCTGAAGACACTTGATAAATTCCCATGGATAATCACTTTTCTCTAAACTCAACAGCCAAGGAACGTAAAACTTTTCGAGGCACCTTAGCTTTTTAATTCCTGAATTTTGACACTGCCAAACAAAAAATTTTGCTTATTTTCAGCTCTGCATAGCAACCTTGCATTGATTCTACAGCTAAATCATCTAAAACTCAACTTTAATGCATACTTTTTGGCATGTCGCAAATTCATGACATGAATTTGCAACATGCTTGCATGCATACACACACAAAATAATAAGACTGAACTTACGTCACTCAGGCGAGAAAAAATTAAGTGAGAGATATTGCGCATGCATCGTGCTTTCCACTATCAGTCACATAACACTTAATTTAAGCATTACATTCTTTGCACGAGGCTGTGCTAGATTTTTCCTGCTGAAAGCTACTTTCCTTGTGAGTATTTTACAAACGACGTTAAAGGCAGCACACATTTCGTGACTTGCTTGGTCAGAGTTTTCCGGTATGTCCCAAATTCACGACACACTTCAGTAAACGGTTTCAAAAAAGATCACGTTTTAGCAGAATTGATCAGCTGTGTATCCTATACAGTAGAAATACTGGCACACCTGCCCTTCTGGGCTTCATTGGGATGAAGTCCGGAGATGTGGCGACGGAGAACACTTCTCTGTGAAAAAGTTGCATTGCAATGGCTACAGGAATACGGACGCTCTCCTGTGTGGGAATTTATGTGGTCTTTGAGGCTGGTTTTTCGTTTAAAGGATGCATCACAGTGAACACACGAGTAAGGGCGCTCTCCTGTGTGGGTTCGCATGTGTAGCTTGAGGTTGCTTCTATGGGAAAAAGAGGCATCACAGTGGCCACAGGAAAAGGGACGTTCGCCGGTGTGGGTGCGCATGTGCTGCTTGAGGGCGTGGCTCAGCCTAAAGGCTGCGTCACATTGGTCACAGGAAAACGGGCGCTCTCCAGTGTGGGTGCGTACGTGTCCCCTGAGGTCAGGCTTTCGTGAAAATGATGCATTGCAGAAGAGACAGGAGAAAGGACGCTCTCCTGAGTGGGTGCGCAAGTGCTCCGTGAGGGAGTTTTTCCGTGAAAAGGATGCATTGCACTGGCCACAAGAAAAAGGTCGCTCTATTATGCGGTTGGGCATGTGGGTGCACATGTGCTGCTTCAGGTTACATTTCTTTGAAAAGGATTTACTGCAGTGAACACAGCAAAAGGGACGCTCTCCTGTGTGGGTGAGCAAGTGTTTTGTCAGGCTGTGTTTTAGTGAAAAGGACAAATTGCACTGGGTGCAGGGGAAAGGACGCTCTCCAGTATGGGTACGAATGTGCTGTGTGAGACGGACTTTCACAAGAAAAGTAGCCGGGCAAAGGTGACACTGGAAGGGAAGCTCCCCTGTGTGCCGGCGAAGGTGCACTTTCATGTTTTTTTTATTCCTGGTCGTATAGTTACACTGCCGGCAGGAATGCAGTTGATCTTCTACTGACACGAGCAAATGGTACTGGTCACGGGATTCTGCAGAAACAGAACCTGCATAGCCACAGGAAGCACAGCAAGGCAATGCAAATCATAGATCCCACAACATACATATAACTAGACTTGAGCAGCAAAATAACAAGAGTTACTGCACTTATAAATAAATGTATACAATAACCTTCCCCATTGCAAATGTGTTACTTTAACAAAGCAGTACATTTATTCAGAACATGCCTCATACAAGTTGCCGTCTATGCACAGATACTTAATCGATGCAAGTACCACCAAATTTGAATATCAGTACACCAAAACAGGAAAATGTGTCTCTGTAAAGAATATAATATTTAGTTTTACGCGGCTCACGAAATTCAGAGTAGCTCAGGAAATTCAGAATAGCTTAGGACATTCACACTAGCTACACCCGTACACCGAGGAACTATGTCTAAATAGATATTCGTTTTTAGTATTTCGCCTACACCAAAATGCGGCCACTGCTGCCGATCTAGAACGCATGTTCGCACACTAACCCATCAAACTAATTATTAGTGTTTCGAGTACTCTATATAACCGAGCAGAGGAAAACAAAGAGGCACTCCTCAGTTTATTATATTCATGCCAAAGATAACCAAATAAGGTGTACGTTACCTTCACTAAGAGTAACTGTATTCGCAACATGTCCATCATGAACACTCGGCTTCTCGTCCACCAATGCCATAACTTCATTCGCATTATGCCTGTGATCAACAATCGGCTTCAAGTCCGCTGTAACTTCATTGGCATAGTGTCCGTGATCAACACTCGGCTTCACGTCCGACGTAAATTCATTCGCATCATGCTCATGCTCAATGTTCGGCTTAACGTCGGTCGTAACATCGTTCGCATAATGTCCGTGATCAACAGAAGGCTTCATGTCTACCGCAACTTCGTTCGCATAATGATTTTCGTCAACCAAGTCTTCAACACTCGGTTTTACATCCGCCGATGCACTAGTCGCTGTCAGAATGCCGTCCATTGCACCATAGCCTCCTTTAGTTAAATGGCTATGAAGAGAAGGCCATAAGAAGGCCATGATTACGCGCGTTTCACCTAGAAGTGGTCGCGGCTTAACATTACTCACATTGCGCAGCTGTCACGACCAAATTTAACACTGAAACCTTGAATAACAACAAGATAGCACATTCAAAAGTTCGCCCAGATCCATGGAAGTGACACCACAGAACACACGGAGGAAAGAAAAAAAAGGTAGGAGAGGCCCAGACACGAACCTTCCCCCATTAGCCCAGACGTCACTTGTTTTCAAGCATAGCCTCCTATATACTTTCTGTGCCCGCTCGATCCCCACGCTTTCCATTCTGTTGCACCGTCGCGTCTAGTTCGAGCCAAGCCGACAGGGGGCGCCGGCAGCCCTGGAGAGTGCAGACGACGCGTAGTCTTTCTGCTTACTCAGTGAGCATCCCAGAAAGCATAAATATCTTCGACGCAAATGTAAAAACGCACTATTATATTCATTCTGGACAACTTTACCATCGTCAGCAAGCATTACCGTGAGTAGAAATGCATCATACAAGTAAGCATAAGCGTATGAATGCGGATTGCGTATCGCGTTGTCTGTGCACGCGCTGCGTCGTGTTCACGATAAACTGATGCGCTAAACTCATACTTGTCCCCAAGGATATTAAGTCCCCGGTACCCTAGAGCTTCATAGGTGAATCCACAATACTTGTAGCTGCCTCGCCGCTTTAAAAAGATATAATAAAGCGACATGACAGCACCACATGACGGCTCCTTACTTTAGCGGCATTACGTTGCGAAGCACAACGCTGCGGGTTGGTTTCGCAGCCTAAAAGTCGCATTTTGACGAATATGAAATGCAAATATGCTGCGTACGTGTGCGTTAAAACATGGCCTTTTTCTCGCCGGCAGGTTTCCTGCCAGCGCGCAGTCTCGACGGCCACGGTGAAGAGTCGCATCTGATCAAAATCAATCCATAGTCCTATATTACGGCATGCCTCGCATCTTCATTGCGGTTTTGCTGTAAAACCCGAAACTCAAGTGACAACGCTTGTTACTTTGTTTTGGACATCAACTTTTATTTTGTTGGTATTCTGCGAAGATGCATATGGTGCACAGGAAATTCCTAACATCAATGAAAGAAAAATAGTACAGTCAGTCAAGCAGCCGCAAAAACACAATTCACAGTTTTAGAACTTTTCTCGACAAGGGCTTGTGGTGAAGTGCCTTCCTCACATCGTATTTGTCAGTCACGCCCAGGGCGTAGTTCGTGAACACAGGCTTGCAAAATTTCATGCAAACAAGCTCCAGAAACTGCAAGCGGTGCTCAATGCAAACATGCTTAAAAACTTCACTGTTTGCCATAGCAGAAACAGCATTGCTGACTGTTTCCTGCAGAGGCCTCGGTATTGCTCTGCGCTTGCTTAAAATGAGTTCAGTGTACTTTTTTAGCACGTACAAAACATTAACAAGCTCACTTGAGGGGTACAGTAGCCCACCTCTGTCTTGGTGCCTAATCAGACTGTCAATGGGGGATGAGGACGCTGGCTTTGTGACAACTGAAATGCAGGGGCTGCAAGCAATCTTTTCTTGTATGACACGGGCCACGAAGCCTCCCACCATAGCAAGTGCTGCTGTGTCCACAGTCGGAAGCAAGCTTGCGGGACTTCTTAGGAGGTCTTCAAGAAGCTTCCTAGCTTCTACTGGAAACTGACTTGCTTGAACTTCTTTCTGTTTGCTTGTAACTTTAAGTGCATCTGAGTCATGGCTTGATGAATCCACTACGTTACTGGTCTTTGAAGCAGAAATTATGCCAGTTTTTAAGGCCTTTTCAACACCAGACAAAACAGACCGAACGTCAGTCTGATCATTACTTCCTGCTGACCTTCTTATCCATCCGAAAAAGGATTCAATCGGGTCAGACGAGAATTTCCTCGTCAGCACAAACTTGAAGGAGACTACATCTAGTAGGTATTTGGTGCACCCAACATTAGACATCGTAGTCAGCATAAGTGCATGATACGTTTCCTTAGTGAGGAACTGCTTTGGCTGGCAGTCACGTCTCAAATCTTCAAGGTATTCGAGGAAAGATGACATGAGCCACACAAGGCGCTCATCAAAAGCAGACTCGTACTGCTTGCAGTCTGGCATATTCTTGTGTATGTGTTGGACACAGTTACTCACGTCCATTAAGACAAACCATCGATGCACTGTGTCCATGAACTCAATTGTTGGGCCTGCATCAGCAAAGGTGATGTCAGACGTGTGTCCAGCTTGCTCTTGCAACAGTTTCAACGCTGCTGTAACTGCAGGAGAGAAAAGCTGAACAGCTTTGTGGACGCTCATGGCTTCAATACTTGATGGAAATACATGTTTCCGTGTGATGAATCGTACAGGTTTGATTACACTCCCCTGTTGCATCTTGTACAGGCTCTTCACATGAGAGGATGTAACTTCACCGTTTTTTCCCATGTCTCGGGCCAGGAACTGCGACCTGATATTCTTTATCAGATGGCATTGATCAAAGGCGATGAACAACTTTCGGTCGGGATCTTGGGGATGCTTTATAGAATGCCGCAGTTTCCCACTGCAAAGCATTTCCAAAGCAAGGACATTAATTTTGTGATTGTCCGTCACAATGCGCATTACAATGAAGCCAGCTGTCTCCACTTCCTTTAGCACATATTTCATCAGCATGAACAGTTGCTGTCCAGTGCAGTTCTTGGTGAAAAAATACCCCACGGGTATTCGAATGCGCGAGAGCCCTGACAAAATAAGACACAACGGTGAATTTGCTAGGACTGGTTCCCTTTTTTGTTGGTGTTCCACAATCCTTACCCAAGTCCACCTCTCCAACGAAGGCATCTCTCTGCTTGTTGTATTGCAGGCGTTGCCGTATTCTCATTTCGTCAACAACCAGAGAACACACTTTCGCTTGCTGGGGGCTCAGATTTTCTAGTTCCGCTTTCAGACGCTCTTTCACGAAACTTTTAAATCCCACTTCGCCAGTAGTCACGCCCAGAAACCTCTGTAACATGGCCCTGCTTGGAAGCTTCAAGAGATTTTCCCTTCTTATAAATTCATAGGCCTTTGTTGACAAATTTCTCAACACAATGCAATTACGAACAGTAACCTCGGAGTAAGTAGGTCTGATTTTGGCGAAATTGTTCACCTGGTCAACGAGGATGCAGGCCCCTACGTGCTTTTCTCGCGCAGCTTCAACTACCTTGGCAAAAGCAGTCAAATTGCAATCTTCTTCTAATTGCTTCAGTTCTTCTTTATATTTGTCAACTGTTTCACGAAGCCGTTGTATTTGCGCCTTTAAATCGCGCTCCTTTCGTCTGAATTTCTGACGTTCTATAACAGAAATACTACTGCGAACATCTACCTGGGTGGCTTCGTGCTTTGAGGTAGGTTCAGAAGGAGCATCCACCTCAACTTGTAGTGGTACGGTGAAGCACGGAACTTCTGCGAGACCCGGAGAGCTAAAACTTGAGGTAAGTCCATCTGCAGGCACGGTGTCTTCATCGGCTCCAACAAAAAGGCCTGTTGCAGCCCCTGTCTCGAGAGGCCGCGCAGCAGCGTTGTCAGTAGCAAGCGCTCGTTTCCTCGCAGCCGCATCACTCCGCGGTTTCTTCGGCTTCGGCTGCATGTACTCCGGGAAGTTGTCGAGCACGCTGGGAGTTGCACTCCTCTTGAGTTTTCGAGTTTTACATCCTTCTTTGTAGTCCGTCAGGAGAAAATGTCGGCTGCACACAACGGAGTAGCGTGATGTCGTGTTCGGCATCCAGTCTTTCCTAGCGATGGCTTTCAACCAGGCTGCCCTCGCTTCACTGTCACTAGGAATTTCATGAAACGAAATCCCCGGTACCTTACGTTTCGCATCAGATTTGCACTTTGGAACACAGCAGTAGGCCATGGCATCACGAGAACACGCACAAGTTCTTCAATCGCGGGAACACAACGCGCACATCGACTGCGGCCTGCGGCGATCCAAGGCGAACTGCCTTCACGCTCCCCAGGGCTGGTGACGCCATCTCTTGGGGAACGGCGTTAGCCGGTGGGAGAGCGCGGACGGAGGCTCTGCCTCGTTCGAGCGGGCACAGAAAATATAGGAGGCTATGTTTCAAGCCGCGATGAAGCCGGAAGTCGGCCATATTGACTGGACAAGTTCTCCTCTCTTGTTTACATCCGCATGTAAAGCAGAAGGCACGACTCTCTCTCCAGCTCGGAAAGCACGTGAGCTGCGACGATCCAAAACAAACGCATCCTAGATTTCTTGTGCCTGCCGGATTATCGGCGGTCACTTGAAAAGCGGCGGTCGTCGGAACTACGGTGGTGGCGCCACTCAAGTAGGGGTGTCTTCAAATAGGTTTTTACGTTTTTGGAGCTTATATGCAACAAAAATAACGTAAAAACTTGTAAAAAGCGTAAACGTAATTTTAATTAACCCTACGTAAGCGACGCCGTCATTTAGCAACTTTTTACATACAAGGCATCCTTTAAAATTAGTAGCAAACGCCAAAATTGCTTATCTCGAAGGCTAAGTACAAAGACGCTTACCCCTACGTAGGCAGCGCTGCCTTAGATGACCGGCATTTCGCGCTTATTTGGCAGGCACGGGAAATCTAGGAGGTGTTGTCCGAAACTAATGGAACGGGGAGCTTCATCCACGGTGGCTTCATCGATTTACCAAGTCCCGGATCACTCGCGGACGGCCTGCGGACGCCTCGGCTCACAGGCGGCTACGTCACATGCATGTGAACTAAAAGTCCCGAGCCAGCCCGAGCGGCCTCGGGCCATCTGCGCGCTTGATGCTGACTGCATCCGCTGTGGCGTCTGCTATGCCGTCTGCTCCCTCCATAGCTGTGACACAGACCACAACGCTGACCCAATTCCAACCTAAACAGCAGTTAGGTTGAGAATTATACCTATTTCTGTTGGGAAGCAACTTACTGTAAGTGAACTACTCGAGCGCGTGTGCATCGCAGACCGGCGCGGTCGTTCTACCGCTGTTTCTCCTAGCGAGTATAACGCGTGTTTGACCGACCTTCGGGAATACGCACATGCTCGACGTGGCTCAGAACAATGATGACAAGAACTGGGTGCGCAAACAATGCGAAATCCAGAAACATGCGAGCAGCGGACATAAAAACAAAGAGAGAGCAAGAGCGCATCGAAAATTTCCCGTATCTAACTTAAGATGGCCGCACAGTATACGCCCCGCGCTGTCGTCTGCCAGCTGCCCGATAGAACTTGTTCGGGCGGT